TGTATTAACGAAATTGTTTCTTTTTTCAAATACACTCCATCTTACAAGAAGGCATGGATTGCTAGAAACAAAGCAATCGAACAAGTGTTTGGTAATTGGGAAAAGTCATACAATGAACTTCCAAATTACTTGTTGGCCCTTAAGAAGTTTGTTCCAGGCACTGTAGTAGAAATGCAAACACTACCAGTATATACAGATGACAGGACTATTATTGCTGGGAAACAAATCTTCCACCGACTATTTTGGGCTTTCCAACCATGCATACGTGGCTTTGCATATTGCAAGCCTTTACTACAGATTGATGGTACCTGGTTATATGGAAGGTACAAAGGTACACTACTAATGGCTGTAGCACAAGACGGAAACATCAATATTTTCCCAGTTGCCTTTGCCTTAGTGGAAGGTGAGACGGCGGATGGTTGGGGTTTCTTTCTAAAAAACTTGAGAATGCATGTATCTCCTCAACCTGGCTTGTGTTTGATTTCTGACCGACATGCATCTATCGAAAGCGCTTATAACAATCCTGAAAATGGTCGGAATAACACTACATCTGTCCATGTGTATTGTATCAGGCATATTGTGCAAAATTTTATGAAGGATATCAAGGACCGTATCCTCCGGAAAAAATTAATCAACATGGGTAAGTACTTTTTATGCAAACATTACATGCTCGTTAATAGTATACCATTATATTAACCAATATTTTTTTTAACATGTAGGGTATGCGCTGAACCAACCAACATTTAAATATTATCGTAATGAAATTGGGATGGCTAATGGTGATGCTTTGAGGTGGATAGAAAAAATTCCCGTTGAAAAATGGACGAGGGCATTTGACGAGGGTCGTCGTTGGGGGCACATGACAACAAACCTTGTCGAGTCACTAAATTCCGTATTTAAAGGCACTCGTAATCTCCCCATCACATCGTTAGTAAGTGCAACATACTATAGGATGGGAACACTCTTTGCTGAAAGGGGTGCAAAGTGGAGTGCAGTTTTGAATTCTGGACAAACATTCACAGAACAGTGCGTGAAGGTGATGAAAGAAGAGACGTCTAAATCCGCCACACATCAGGTAAGCATTTTTGACTATAATAATAACACTTTCAGTGTGAAGGAGACAATTAACCACGGTGAGGGGAAGCCATTGGGGCGTTACAAGGTCAACCTAATGGAAGGATGGTGTGACTGGGGAAAGTTTCAAGCATACCGTGTTCCTTGTTCACATGTTATCGCTGCATGTTCTGTGGTGCGTCAGGACGCATTTCTTCTGTTGTCTGACGTTTACAAGGTTGAGAACTTATTTGGGGTTTACAGCACGAGCTTTCCAGTTCTACCATACGATGAGTATTGGCCCACTTATGAGGGAGATCAAATTTGCCATAATCCAGTTATGCGGAGGAACAAGAAAGGTCGTCCCGTGAGCACCCGTATTACAACAGAAATGGACGCATATGATAAGTTGGAGAGAAAATGCACATTGTGTCGTCTTCCAGGTCACAACCGAACGCGATGCCCCAATGTAGGAACTAGTAATAATTAGTTATTCATTTTGTTATCAATCTGCAAAGTTGTATGTATAATGACGCCGAGTTATTATGTTTCATTTCACTAATACTTCTGCATTTAATATAAATAATAATTCGAAAAAACAACACATAAATTAAAATACTGAGACGAATAGTAGAACTTAGCAACAACATTAAACGTAAACAACATCAACATGTTCAAACAAGGACATAACCATTTCTAGGATATTACAATCAGCAACACAATATCTTTTTGTTGAAGCATCATCATAAGAACACATGCGTCGTTGTGAACAAGTCTCCAAGAACGAGTGGGTCCATTTAAGCCAGGCACCGTAACTAACCTCTCTATTTTCCGAATCTTTTCACCTTGGGCAATTTATTCCCCTAACCATCCCTCCAAGTGCCTATGCAGATGCTCAAATGTCTGCGTGTTCAACAATTTGATCTTCATCGGAGGCTTTACTGGAGAAAAAATAAGTTCTGCGTCTCTTTTCATATATGGAAACATTGAAAACTCCCCGGATGTTGAAGACATTTTTAAGATACAACTAAAGAAAAATAATTTAAGTGTAGCTTGGATCATTCAACATCAACGATATTTATAGGTCACAGCAAAAATTTTAAATTAATAAAATAATAAAACCCTCCGCCTATTAACGTGGCAGAGCCGTAAATAAATAATAAAATTACGAAAGCTTCCGCCCATCGCACTGGCGGAACCGTACTGAAATAATAAAATAATAAAATGAATAAAACCCTTCGTCCATTGCAGGGGCGGAGCCGCACTGCAATAATAAAATAACATGACCCTTTCTATGATTAATATTTTAACATTGATTTCTTATTTAATAATAATTTTAATATATTTTTAAAATTACATTAAAATAAATTTTATTTGTATATTAATATTTTAATATTTTAATAATTTCATTAAAATGACTTAAATTTGAATATTTTAATTTCATTTTATACAAATATATTGATTTCTTATTTAATAATAATTTTAATATATTTTTAAAATTACATTAAAATAAATTTTATTTGTATATTAATATTTTAATATTTTAATAATTTCATTAAAATGACTTAAATTTGAATATTTCAATTTCATTTTATACAAATATATTGATTTCTTATTTAATAATAATTATAATATATTTTTAAAATTATATTAAAATAAATTTTATTTGTATATTAATATTTTAATATTTTAATAATTTCATTAAAATGACTTAAATTTGAATATTTCAATTTCATTTTATACAAATATATTGATTTCTTATTTAATAATAATTTTAATATATTTTTAAAATTACATTAAAATAAATTTTATTTGTATATTAATATTTTAATATTTTAATAATTTCATTAAAATGACTTAAATTTGAATATTTCAATTTCATTTTATACAAATATATTGATTTCTTATTTAATAATAATTTTAATATATTTTTAAAATTACATTAAAATAAATTTTATTTGTATATTAATATTTTAATATTTTAATAATTTCATTAAAATGACTTAAATTTGAATATTTCAATTTCATTTTATACAAATATATTGATTTCTTATTTAATAATAATTTTAATATATTTTTAAAATTACATTAAAATAAATTTTATTTGTATATTAATATTTTAATATTTTAATAATTTTATTAAAATGACTTAAAATTGAATATTTCAATTTCATTTTATACAAATATATTGATTTCTTATTTAATAATAATTTTAATTTATTTTTAAAATTACATTAAAATAAATTTTATTTGTATATTAAAATTTTAATATTTTAATAATTTTATTAAAATGACTTAATTGAATATTTCAAATTCATTTTATAAAAATATATTGTTTTTTTATTTAACAGCAATTTTAATTTTTTTTAAAATTATTTATAAAAAAAAACGTTGATCACACAGCTCCGCCAATGCAATGGGCGGAAGCTGTGTATTTTTAAGACCATCCGCCCATCCATTGGGCGAAGCCTTCTAATTTCAATTTATTTTTTTTTGAAAAGATGGTATATTGAGAATATTGATTGAAAGGTATGGTATATTGGGATATAGTTGTTAAAAGAAGTATATGTTGGTAAAAAATTCAAAAATGTACTCCTAATAAAATTAAAATAAAATCTCTTAACTCATAGTACAATTTCTAGAATGTACTCTTATACTAGGTAATACCACTAACTTAGGAATCCATTCAAAAGAAAGATTAAAAATGTACTCCTAATAAAATTAAAATAAAATCTCTTAACTCATAGTACAATTTCTAGAATGTACTCTTTAGGTAATACCACTAACTTAGGAATCCATTCAAAAGAAAGATTAAAAATGTACTCCTAGTAAAATTAAAATAAAATCTCTTAACTCATAGTACAATTTCTAGAATGTACTCTTATACTAGGTAATACCACTAACTTAGGAATCCATTCAAAAGAAAGATTAAAAATGTACTTCTAATAAAATTAAAATAAAATCTCTTAACTCATAGTACAATTTCTAGAATGTACTCTTATACTAGGTAATACCACCATTAAAGTCTATTTTCCGCTTAATAACATGAAACTTAAAAGCAACTGTTTTTCACACACAATAAATTGATCCAAATTATAAAAGATTAAATATAACTCGCACCTTGTTTGCTTAACAGATTCTTTACCAAAGACTAATGAACCCTATATAGAATAGTAATTACTCCCTCTCTCCTAAAATATTTATTATATTTGACAAATTTTATCAAATTATTCCAATTAATTATTAATTTATTCAAATTATTATTAATATAAAATAAAAGAAATAATAAATTTGACATATTAATTAAAAGATAATTCAAAATTAAAATTAAAATTGTATTAAAAATTAAAACGATACTTATTTTAAAATAAATTTTTTTACATATGCGAGAACGGAGAGACTAATAATGTTCTTTGCTGCTCGAAAAGTTTACAACAAAACATCCAATATCAAATATCACCTAGATAGATGTGTGTAACAGATGAGACTTCACTTTAGATTTACCGTTGGATTTGATCAAACGATTACCCACATATCTCCATTCCTCCATCCGAAGCACATTCCACTATCAAAACTCAAGTCCATTAAATATTCACCTATGTCTGAATCCGCAAGTAACAAGATTCAATTAATGGGTCAGTTCTACTACCATTCAACCTAACAAATACTAACCTCTAACTCAATGAAAATAGTATCACATAGTTAACTATAAGCTCAACTAAAGAAACCCATAATTTTGGCAAAAAGGTACCCTTAATCACACACAATCAAGTGATTCACCTCAAAACACACACACAAAACTATACCATATGGTTCATATCAATTTAATCCACAAGTTCTATACACATAAACTTTCTCAAAAAGGCAATAATACTTAACCAAAATTAAAATTACAACCCATCATCACTTGACCGTTCGATCAAGCTCATAATCATCCTCACCGTTCATCACACACTATACACAATCACAAAACAAGGTAGCACAGCCCTAGGATTAAAAACCACCAACTCACTCTCTCCGCGCGCCATCACCGAATCAAAACCCCCATCGGTTTTATCCATTTCATCATCCGAATCAGACCCAACCCGACCCGCAATAACCCGACAAACAAGCATGGCCCGTTTCACGTTCATGAAGCGAAATTCACGTTCGATGTCATCAGGAATTGACATGTTTGCCCTCCAGCTTGTTGACAGCGTGGAAATTCCGTCTAATTTTTGTGAAAATCCTGATTTAATAATTCCGCAGATAGTACAAAATTGCTGAGAACAAATTGAAGAATCCCCGTTGTGTCCTAACTCGCATAAAAAAGTGGAGCAGTGAAAACGCATGAGTTCGTTTCCGTCGGCGATGCAGCGTTCGTCGCGGCGGCGCGTGTTACGCGTGGCTTTGGATTTTACCATTTCGCGATACTCTTCGAATTTGGAGAGGATTTTCTGGCTGTTGTGGATCTTTAGGATTCGGTGAATTGTTGGAAATGGAAAGTCGTTTGTTTCAGGCCAACCCGATTTGAATATGATCTGGACTATGTTGTGACCCGGGTCGGATCCGGTGAGTTCCGACACGGCGTGGTTTGTGAATTGGTGATTCTCGAGGAGATTTGGTTTCTGGAAAATCTCGCCGCAGACGGTGCATGGGAAGATGTCGTTACGGAGGGGGAAGTTGTCGGCGGAGATGTCTGATTCGGGTTGTTTCTTGCGTGGGGGATCGGTGAAACTCGGGTCGGATTGAACCAGTGAGATGAGAGATTGTTGGGAGGCTTCCGCGGTGGTTGATGTGGATTGAGGTGATGCTTGTGTGGTGGCGGCGGTGATGGCGGTTTTGCAGGATTTAGCGGAGAAGAGGTGTTTGACGAAATGCCAAGAAGAAGAAAGGGCTTTATGGGTTTTGAATTTAGGGTGGGAAGGTGAAGTGGGTTGTGATAAAGGTAAGATTTTTCGTTTCTTGGAGGGTAGCAAATGACGGGTGTCGTGTTTTTGTTTTCCGGCGGTGACGGCGGCGGTGGTGAACATGAAGCAGCCAAGGTGGAGAATGAGGATGAAAAGATAGCAAAACTTGTTGAAGAAAGTAGCAATGGATGCCATAAGTTGAGTGAGTTCCGAACCAAAAATTAATCTTTTTTAGTTTCTTATTAGTAGTGGGTAGGTATGAGTGATGCCATGGGAGATTATGGAGAAGGGTTGATTCGATTGTAGTTCATCTCATTTCATTGGCATGCATTGATTTGTGAGAGAATGATGATAAAGTACAATGATGATGAAGATGAAAAAGAAAAGAAAGAAAGAAAGAATGGGAAAGAAGATTGATAGATAGGTAAGGTAGTGAGGTTTTAGGGGGCATTAGAAGAAGAATAAAGGTAAAGAATATAAAGACTAGTTGGAACGCAACTTCATAGCGTTAACTAAGCAATTTGCATTCATATTTTTATTTAGAGAATTTCTTTTTACTTAGTAGTGATGAAAAAATCCGAAAATATTTTTCGCACATGCATTTCTAAATATATATTAGTATGAGTTTAGAATATTGTGTTATTTTAGATACGTATATTTGAAATAATTTTATTTTTTTATTTTTAAAGAGATTTTAGATATATATTTGAATTAATTTAATATTTTTAATTTATTTTGATTTTATATTAATTTTCTTTTTTAAAAAACTATTATAATATAATTAAATTAAATTTTTATTAATAAAAAATTATTTAAATTTATAATTAAAACTTTTAAAAATAAAATATTAAATTATTTCAAATATATATATCTGAAATTTAATTTACATTTTTAAATTTTAAGAATATTTTAAAAATCTCATCAAAAATTCTGTAGGTGTGAAAAGAAATTATATATATATATACTAGTAATAGAGTGTAATGTACTCTAGAAATGGATTATTATAAGATGAGGAATGAGTGAGAAGGTTATAATAAAGAGAGTGTTTGGTTGATGATGCATCCTCTTTAACCGCAAGTAACGGTATTTCATTACTTTTATATGCTAATTTTCCCCTTAAATTTGGGATTGAAAATGATTCTTTTGCTATGTGGTTACACGGTTAAGTAAGTATGGAACAAGAAATCAGCTCAAATTTATCTATATCGTTTGGAACCAACGCAACACAGATTTAAGAAATTAGTTCAAGTTGGTTGATCATTTGATTAATAGTGTTAAGGTGTCTTATGTGTGGATTTAAATGTCTTAAATGTGGATTTAAAGGTGGTTGATCATTTGATTCAATAATAATTAGAATAACGTCTGTGCAAAAATTAACTATTATAAAAGTCGGTTGATCTTTTTTTTATGTAATTGCTTTATTTGAATAGTTGTTACCATAAACGAATAAAAAACTTCTAAGAATATAATAAAGTTATATAGAAATAGAAAAAAAAAATGGCAAAATCAATCTTCTTATAAAAAAAAGTTTAAAATGTAAATTTAAATTTTGTTTCACACTCTTACACTAAAAAATAAATTGTCTCGTAGTTGTGAGTTCTGTCGAGCATTTTCATGAGTATTCAAAAGAGTTTTATAGGATGATAAAATAGTGAATTTTTTATTGCTCTGTCATCTTTTTACATAAAAAAATCTCATTATACCATCCTCTTCAATCAATATTCTCATACTATTATGTTTTCAAACAAATTTTATTTTTGTCACAAAGCATCCGCCAAATGAATGGGTATGACAGTTGAAAATATTTGACATCCACACAAATAATGGGCGGAAGTGTTGTAACTTTTAGAGGGTCCGCACATCCAATGGGCGAAGTGTGTTAACGTGAAATTTTTTTTCTTTTTTAAATTAACTTACTTGAATTATATATAAGTTTTAATTATATTTAAATTATATAATTCCACTATAATTAAACGAAAATTTAATTGAGAAATGAAATAATAATTAATTTATAATAAAATATATTTACTGTCGATTTTGACCGGGTCGTGTTAATTGTTGGTGAGTTCCACAAGGAGGAGCTTGTTTGGTACGTTGGTTTGTTCTGCGACTTCCTTCTTCATGTTGTGGTTGAGTGAAGGTCTCGCGTCGCATCTGCCCATTTAAAATTCCTCAATCATTTTCTCATTGGTATAGTCTGTCTCGGCTGCACTGCCATAACTTAATCTGGTTCCCTCCCAATTCCAATTTGGTAGGGAATTAGTAGGCATTGGGCTATTTACTAAGGGTTGGTAACAATCTTGAGAGGTAATTATTGTGGCTGAGAAATAGGCATTTATTGTTAGGGTGTTTGGAAGTTAGGCTCATGTGGGGTTTGTAGTGTTAATGATGTTTGTGGTAGACTGGGTAAAATGTGAATATTGTTAGGTGCCCCATTGGATGGGGTTAGATGAAGAATACTGTTGTTGGATTCCCCATTAGGTGGGGTTAGATGAAGGGTTTTGTTGATGGTATCGTTGGCTTGGGGTAAAAGGTGGTTGTGTTGGGAAGAAAGGTTGTTGGTTGTTAAGGAAAGGTTCTTGGTTGCTCATGAATAGTTGTTGGGTGTAAGTGCTTGATGATGGTCTGGTGTGTTTGACCTTGGACGTTTGAAGATGTTGGCAGATTACGAGGGTCGAATAAGAAGTTATTTGGTGACAGATACAAATTTGTAACAGACTTATACCATTCCATGTATTCCTTACTCGGTTTACATTCTTCTGACATGCATCTCCTTGTAAGACTTTATCTTCGCGATTATGCTATTGATGACGCTCATGTTTGTAATGATCTTTCCAATTGCTATATGCCTATTGGTCGTTCACCACACTTTTGTGATACTCCTCCATGCACTTTGGAGCATCTGGTATGCCTTGTAGAATGTCAAATTGGAGTTTTACCCTATCAATATGATGCATTTCAACTGTAGTAAAACAGATGATAAATGTTTTTTCACTCCACACGTGACTATCAGTCGGATCGATTTCTTCAAGTCCTAGATAGGGCCTCCACGTAAACTGTTATAAAAATCAGTTATTGGTCTAGCAAACTATAAAATAATAGTAATTATTAGTAATCTATGGTTAAGAATATTACATCAGCTTCTTCGAAATGATCGATGAAAGTCCGATAGCCAGGTGCACAATGATGAGGAGTCTTTTCCTAATCCATCTCATAGGCAGACCATCTAAAAATAAATAATACTTAAATGTTGTTCACATAATAAATAAGTTTAAGACAAAAGAGTAGTTTCAACTTACTTGGTTGCGTACGAAACGTGAAATGGATTATGATTCCTAGGCGCTAGATTCGACATTCTTGACCATCCCTAAGCTTGTAGTAGTGTTGAACAACCGACAAAATTATGAACTTCTTTTCTAGCGCATCTATACAGGTTTCGGTATAGATGTGATAAAACAACAGATCTCCAGTTGTATCTACCTATTTTATTAAAGTCAACTAATAATGGTAAATACATAAGATGTATTGTGTTACCATTAGTGTTAGGAAATAATAAACTAGCGAAAAATAATAAAATATAAATTCTAGTTTTCTTATGAATTTGGTCGATGGCAGAATCTTCGTTCAAATCAAATGCATCATATTTTTCCCTGAGCCAATTCATTTTAACGAATTGGCCCTTTCTAGCTCTTTCAGGAAATTCTTCACCCAATAGTTCTTGAGTTATGGAGTAGTTGACAGTTGTTCTCCCATTCACTGCCACACTGTTTACACGTAAACCCATCAACATGTAAACATCTTCAAGTGTGACTGTGGATTCACCAGTAGGAAGATGGAATGTGTGTGTTTCCGGCCACCATCTTTCACATAAAGCGAGAATAAACTTTCTATCAACACCATATGAGGTTATGTTGATAACGTGCCCAAAGCCCGCTTGAGTCAAATATGGACGGATTATTTTGTCTACGGGCACACATGAGTGTGTACGAGGCCTAAACTTTTTCTCATTCTAAAAAAATAATTCAATGTTAGAAGATGGTTAATGTCGGAAGTATATTCTAACAATTTGAAAAAAACTTTATACGTAAATATATTCAATACACTTACATATTGGAGTATGTTTGACAATGTTCCTCGATGATCCTCTCCATAAGTTAACAAAGACATTATATCAAGAGTGGTGTTTATGATGAGAAAGAGTGGATGAAGATTGAGTTTGATGTAGAATTATGGAAAATTGAATGGTATTTATAGAGAAAATACCAAGGAAATTTTTTTAATAGAAACAATAAAATGGTTGGGAGAATTGAAGGTGGCATGCATGGCTTGTACTTGGATTGTGCTGCATGAATAGGCATGCAAGTTCCGCACCCCTAATGGGTGGAGTCTTTGTTATTTTCTGATACACCGCACATGGAATGGGCGGAAGTGTACATTTTTTGTCTGCCATCCACATATACAATGGGCGAAAGAGATTTAATTGGCCTATCAACGACGCAGGTGCATTGGACAGAGCCTTTATAGAAATAAATGCTTTCACCTTCACAATTGACGGGCCTCTTATCGTCTAGTGTATCTTCGTCTGTAATGGGCAGATGTGTATCTTTTGTAATATTGACCATTGACCAGTCAATATTCCTACGATGGAAACAACAATATTTTCCCAGTTGCCTTTTCCCTTGTGGATGGTGAGACGGCGGATGGTTGGGGTTTCTTTCTAAAAAAACTTGAGAATGCATGTAGCTCCTCAACCTGGCTTGTGTTTGATTTTCTACCAACATGCATCTATCGAAAGCGCTTATAACAATCCTGAAAATGGTTAGCATAACACTCCATCTATCCATGTGTATTGTATCAGACATATTGCATAAAATTTTATGAAGGATATCAAGGACCGTAACCTCCGAAAAAAATAATCAACATGTACTTGTGCAAACTTGAACTTTTGAAAATCCTTGCTAGAAAAGTCTTGAAAAGAGAGAGGGAAAATTTTGGGGTACAACAGTAAGTATCTTTTAAGCAAACATTAGATGCTCGTTGATAGTATACCATAATATTAACCAATATTTTTTTAAACATGTAGGGTATGCGCTAAACCAAACAATGTTTAAATATTATCGTAATGAAATTGGCATGGCTAATGGTGATGCTTTGAGGTGGATAGAAAAAATTCCAGTTGAAAAATGGACGAGGGA